CTTCCTGCACTAGTAAGGAGAGAGAAGCTGTTAGAAGGCAATGGATACTGGCCATCAAACAAGCCAATCCCTAAATGAAGTTCCATGTGTGGGAGCCCGGTGTCCCAGTCGAGTTGTGTTCAGCTTTATGAAAACATAATTGGGTAAGCAGTCATGTGTTAAGTAGATTTCAGGAAACACAAGCTTTATGATAGATAGTCTATAGTCCAGTTATCAGGACCACACCACCCGTTTTCAAGGTGTGTGTCAGATAGCATTTCGGAGTATCATACCCCAGACCAAATTTTGTAGGATGGCCGCAGGCTCATCCTGTCGGTGTTCTAACTGATACTCCGAAATGCGATCTGACACACACCTTGAAAATGGGTGGTGTGGTCCAATATACCTGTTAATTCAGGATCCTTATGTGCCGAGTCTGGTAGTTGGGTAGGCCTGGTTACAATACATTTTCAAAAGTAATAAAAAATACCTAGAGTTTAGTGGTCCATCTTTGTTCATGTTTAACTGCCAATACTATTGGTACAAGTAAAACATACCCCTTTCATAGTTGTCTTTGTTTGACCCAATCCACTCAAATCCAGAATAAATTTTCCAGGCTAAATCACAAGTGAAGTCTGAAGTCTTCAGCAGTCCCACAAAAAGACAAGGGACCAGCTGCTTGCCACCAGAGACGCACGAAACAAGCTGCTAGTGTTTCCTCCAACCATTCATAACATAAATATGTGGAATCACTCAGAGGTAAGATTAATTATTACACACTTATTTGTAAAGGAAATTTATTGTCCTAGTTTTACACCTAAGTTCATAAGTTTGATCAGATATGCATGTCCGATCAGATATTTACAGTTTAATTTCTTTACTCTTTGATTAAATTTTAAAATGTAATTTTTCTTGAGCATCTTAAGAATACAAGCACTCCTTTTTTTCAAGGAAGCATCTGTCAATTTCTTGATATTCTACAGATCCCAGATGCTAGCATGAAGTGTGAAATTGAAACCAGCTTAACAGTGACTACTTCTAAAAGAGCAACGGATCCTTTACTTTCTCCACCAATGACTAAAACTGCAGCAGTGGACTCTATTATTACTGTGTATCAACTAATACTCAGCATAGACAAATAATGTGGTGATCCATGTGGTATGCATAACTACACTCTGTTTGCAACTCGAGAGCCAGCTGAATATGAACTGAATTATATGTATGGATCTTTACTTAATGTATTTTCTGTTGTAGATTGTAGACAGATTTTTATGTTGGTGGTGGGAATAAGAAAAAAAAAATTACACAAATTTTTATCTCAGTTGTTTCTTTAATGTATCTGAGTTTGATGGATGGCTGCCTCAAGTTATAACCAACCTTCAGATAATAGAAAATTATTTTCAAAAAATAGGAAAAAATTTTTGTTATAAAAGCATAGAAAAAACAGGAATTATTCTCAAAGAAAGTTGCCCTCTGGACACCCCTAAAGCCAGACCAAACTAACACATCTTTTTTAAAACTGAATAACAGAACTTAGGCTTCGTTCACATGCAATGTCTATTTTCTAAATTCTATTTTCTATTTGCGGTATGTCTTATGATCATGGTCTGTGCCCTGAATATCCCGCGGCGTAATTACTGGCAGCGCGAGCCAGTTACAATAAGTTACTATAAGTAACTGGCTCGCGCTGCCAGTAATTATGCGGCAGGATATTCAGGGCACAGACCGTGATCATAAGATAGCGCGAATAGAAAATATAATTTAGAAAATAGACATTGCATGTGAATGAAGCCTTAGTGTTCCAACAATCCTTCATCTAACAACCTTTCAAACAACAACTTAAAATAGCAAGCTAACTCTTTTGAATACTGCAACTGTGACATATCTGTTTTAGGGGAACATACATTTCATACATAATGCTTACGTAGTAGTCAAAACAACAAAAACTGTCAAAAACATATTTTATCATTTTGTTTGGCTTTCTTTTTTGATGAACAATCAGTGTTTTTTTTTTTTCACTAGACAACTTTGCTGTATGTTTTGCTGGTATGTTTGTTTCAGGACTCAAACAAAAATTGCCATTTACAATTTTGAGCTGCAGGTTTATGATTGCAAATGCTGAATTAACAACCCTAAGCAGTTTCACTGTGAGAACATGATAATATTTGTAACCAGTACAGCAACAAAAACTGAATGATCTGGCCAGCTTTCACCATTTCTCTTGTTGATTTTATTTGTTCTTTTCTCACCATTGAACCATCTTCAGTGTGGCAGAAGATACACTTACACACATGGACACAGACAAACACAAATATACTCTCACATAAAGAACTGCTTAGAGCTTTTGGGGACTCCCGTGTGGAAAAAAATGAACAATTTAGTTACATCTGAGCAAAACTTAACTCAAAAGATATTTCAAATAACTTAAAATATACTTGCCAAAAAAGGAAATGCAAGTTTTTGTTTTGACCAGTGCTTCAAAATGCCCAAAATTGCACTTGTTAGTCTGGCCAACGTATTTAGCGACAGAACCTTTCAGTCCTTCAGTAAAGATATGCTAGAGTGATTCTGGAATGGCTAGCTCTACATTTTCAGAAATCTCATCTGAACACAAACTGAGATAAAAGTCTTACAGAAAAAAACTGTCTGTAATCAATGCTGCAGGACACTGGAAACAGGAAACTAAATTTAGATGACTGAATTCCCTGCCAGGGTAGTCTGATGCAACAGTGGTTGAACATGACCAATGTGGAGGGCCAAGTGTCATGGTATGGGCAGGCATGAGTGAGTTTCCAGATTTGGTGATTGGTTGAAGTCTCACTGGCCTGCTGTACAGTGATGAAGTTCTATGAGTGCCAATTGTGTAACAAAACCCAACCCTGTGCTTACCCAGCAGAACATCACCTGTCCCCATACTGCCTGATAGCGCAGGCATACCTCAGCGGAGCAGATCCAGATAAACAGTTTCGCAAACTGTCTCCCATTGAACATGCCTGGAATGAAATGGGCAGACAACAACTTAACTCCCAGCAACAGTCTACCATCATCATAGAGCTGAGAGCTGCACTGGCAGCAAAATGAAGAAGATTGCCTCAGGTCTGTATTTGAGGTCTCGTACAGTCCAGGAGGAGGGTACTATCCTGTATAATAACCAGAGGAGGGCACATGCTACTTACCAATATACTACCCTTTACACAACACTTTTGTATAAAAAAAAGTACATTAAAACCATGGACATAACTTCTGTATTTTTTTTTTAAGTACATCTATTCTAAATAAACATAATCATTAGAAAAATAGATAAAATGCTTCAAAACTCATCAAACTAATGCATTTCTATAATCTACAATTTCTCTTGCATATCTCATGGCAACGCCCAGCACAAATGGAACACACCAAGCTCGAAGGTGATAGGGCTTTTCATTGCCATGCTTGCAACAAGTTTCTATATGATCTCACCAGTAATCCTTAGTTAAAGCTGTTTTTACTTTGTAGTCGATAAGTTTTGGCAATGTCTTCAATCACATACTTTGTCAGCATTTTGATGAACAAAGTTTTAGGAGTACTAGAGCTAGAGGTTTGATACTAGACCTGCAACTGTGTTCCATACATATATCTATGCACCTAAACATCTGAGGTAAGCTGAAGTTTTATGTAATCTTCTCACCTTCCTGCACTGCACTTTAGCAGGGCATGTAGATTCTAGACAAAAAAGCATTCTTTTAAAAAAGGTAAACATATCCAAAAAATGGGAAAAAATAGGAACTTGAGGCCCTGTCAGTTATGTGTGCTGGAGCTAGTCAAAGTCATAATAACTCTTAGTTTTGGTCAAAAATTGGATTTTCCTGGAGTAAACAGCAATTTTCCCGTACTTACTTGGCCTCTTAGGAGATTTTAACTGATGGAGCCCTCTCTGACATTGCATAGTCACGCGATATCGAGCGATAGTTATTGGTGACCTACTTAAAACCGTGGGAAAAGCAGACAACAACAGCGCTATATAACAATAATATAAGATTCATAAGATATATTTGTCTTATTGCTCAAAATGCATTTATATCTACAATGTGTGCAATTCTGGGCTTTTCGTTATCCGATGCACTGTACAAAAACTTGCAACTTAAGTCTGCGTATTGCATCAGGGGTTTGGCGCCAGATGATATTCTGGTCTCGAATGAACGAGAGAATCCGCGTGACACCCTAACGTCATTGGCAACGGATGCCTTGACGACAGGGAAGAAAGGCATTGAAAGCCCTATTGACAGGCACAGATTTTAGCTTTACTACAATAAGGGCTGTTTTAGTGTTAAAATGCAATAGAAAATATTTCCATGCTTTGTTTACAATGTATTTCTTGCGGAATTTTGAATCTCAAAGGAGTTATTATTGCTTTAATAAAATGTAGCACAAACTTATATTTTTAATAAACAACCTTGCTCATTCTGAATATCATTTATATGATAACAAAATGTCCATTTTTTCTTGCATTTTTACCACATATATTGTGACACACTACATACAGCGTGTGTTAGAAATCTGTCATTAATATTTTTAATAAAAAAATAAAAACTTATATTGGTCATTTCCAATCTATTACAATTATAGGCGAGTTTTTATTGGATCTGGGCTACATATACTTTCTCAAAGCAATAAAGAGGCATACATTTCTCCATTTAAAGGTCAATACATATGTATTTACCTACACTATCAATGTTTAAATACCCCACCAACTTTGTGCCCTAGATCTTCCTACAATTTGTGATAATGCATGATATTCAGGAATTCCTGAAAACCTCAGTGTTTACTATAAAAGGTAAATAAGCAAACTAGTAGCTAAATGTGATATATAATGGTCTTTTGTGCATTATTCCACTCTGACAATATCCAAATGAATTCCCCTTTACAATTTTATTGATTTAATACTAGCACATACCTAAAGGCTTTTTATTAAAACATTGCCCCAAATGTTTAACTATACCGCCAACCTTCACGCATGCGTGACATATGTACATCATGTGGTGAAATGACGTCACGAAAGCCACAGAGTGTTTATAAAATATAAGAGCTAAATTAGCAAACTTGTAGGTAAGTTTTATATAAATATAATGGTTTTTATATTATACTTCATTCCAGCAATATTCAGATGAATGGCTCTTACTGCTTTGTTATTGACTTAACATACCTTTTGGTTTTTTATTAAAGTGATGTTTGGTCACAAGTGAAAATGGAAACCTGGCCTCGGAGGACTTCTACGGCCATTTTGTAACTCAATCTGAATTTTGATCAGTGTGGATTACCTTTGAATCAAGGTGTTTTTTATTCACTCTTTTGTCCAAAAAAGTGCATAAAACCATTAATGTTGCAGTTTTTAAGACTTCGTCCACTTTATATTTATCCTCTAATTTCTGTTCAATCATCTGCCATTGAAAGGGTGCTTGTATAAGGCTACTAGGTTAAATAGTACAATAGCACTTGTTGCACCATAGGAAAATAACACTAACTAGATAAAACTTCAGTCAGTTGAGTCTTGTTTAGAACTATCAGTAAAAATAGCATCAATCTTTTGGACATACAATGTATGACCTACTTTGTCCCATGATAATACATGATCTGTTTGACAGAACTTAGGTTGACTTTTCTTCGTAACAAGAATGTATATATACTATACAGTATAATACAGATCATCATCAGAATATTTTATGATCTTATATCCCTTGACTGCTCAGTTGATAGAACATTTCTGAGGTCTGCAAAACTGCCACGACTATATAGGAAAATATTTTGAAGGGATCTGAAGACAAAACCTGACCAGTGAGGCAGAAACTGGAAGTGAAAATATTTTGGTACTGCTTTATTGACTTCACAAAACTTCATGCTTAATTTTAGTTCAACAGGGCAGGTATCTTTAACACAGAAGAAATACATTTTTATTGTTGTCCCTTGCAGAGAAACCATGTTTGACCAACAAGAATATGAAGCTCAGCAGCTTGAGGCACTGAAAGAAAATCTTGCTAATGTAATACAAACTCAAGATACATCTGGTCAATCAAAACAACCAATGACAGAAACTGGAGATGAAAAGGTAAGAAATACTTCAAGAAGATAACACACACCTCTGGGTGCAAGAATGAGAGGAGTTGGTGGTGACAGAATAACTAGACCTTCTTGAGTGGTAAAAACTATATTAGTTCTACAGATAATACGCTACATATAAGATGATAAGGTGTCATCTTCTACTTTACCATTGTGGTCTCAACCATGTTAGCCAAAAGACCAAGCTGCCTAATTATATATCATGTATTTACTTCTAGATTCTAACTTGTATAACTTATAAATAAGAGGAAAAGAACTCCATAAGTAACTATAAGTTACTTCGAAAGTTTTTGACATGACAAAAACATTCGGGATGCCACAAGAATGGGTAAAAATATTTAGAATGCACTCGGAATTTTTAGAATGCTCTTTGAATATCCAGGAGCGTACAAAGAATTGTCTTTCCGACAGCATTCTTGCTCATTCCGCCTTTAGTGTGACGGGGGTATAACCAGCTATGTAACAGCAATAAAACAAAAAATAAATAAATATATCCATGGTTATAGTGCGGCAATTATCCACCATAATTGTTCATTTTAACTACCATGTGTTCTCATCTACCCAGACAGCTCATTTAAACTGTTTGATTCTACATGGCCTCATAATGAACATATTGACTTAATTGAAATTTAAATCCTTCATCATTATTTATTTCAATAGACAAAATCAAGTTTATGTCCCTCTGGCTTAAAATTGAGGACAGAAGACAAGCAGCAGGTTGAAGAACATGCCAGTGAAGTAAAGTGAGTACCACTGGTTAAGTATAGAAGTTTCAACCCATTTAGTGTGTCACATCAGAAAGTAAAAAATATATATCATTACCTGAAGAACCCGGACATTTTTTTCTGGACATTTTAGTGTTCACTGATATTTCAACTCCCCAATAAATTACTTTAAACCATCACCAATATCAAATATTTGACTAAGCTGATTCCATGACATTTGAATGGTTTGTTTTATTTGATTATCTTTTACTGCTTCCAAATTCTCAAATTCTTGACATCAGCAATAGGCCCTACTCTGTATTTGACAGGGACTTATGATCTAGATATCAGGATTGTAGTAAAATGATCATTTCTACATCATTTGCAATAGTTTTTTTTCAAAATAGATAATATCCCAAATTATTTCCTTTATGCAATAGTCCAATTGAAGATGAAAAGAAGAAGCTTTGGAATGAAATTGATGAAAAAAAAGCAAAGGTATGTACATTAACAAATAACAGCATGAACTGTTGTGTACTTTAAGAGGAATTTTGCCATCATAAATTCAGAAATATTTTCATGCAAAATATATCTGTTGTTGCAACAATTTCTGCCATCACAGCAATTCAAAAAGTAAAATGCTTAACAACAAAGGTGCTTTTTAAAAAACATATGCAAAATGGAGCAACAGCAATATAATCTTTTCAACATATTCTATTATTTTAGCAAATGTTGGCATTATCCAGCAACTATGAGAATGTAATTCTACCAAGTACAGGTGTGAACAGGGACCAATATCATCATGCTTACACTTCTCCTGATCAGGTAAGGTGGATGAAATAGTAAACAATATAATAGCTATACAATATAAAAATTTGTAAATTAATTTTGCACCAACAAAAACTGGCACATATTCCTTCTTAAGTTCAAGCCCTGTTTCACAAATAACTTTAAATCCATGGTTATAGTGCGGCAGTTATCCACCATAATTGTTCATTTTAACTACCATGTGTTCTCATCTACCCAGACAGCTCATTTAAACTGTTTGATTCTACATGGCCTCATACTTAACACCTGAACTTTATAACCGTATTGAAAGTTAAGTCTTTTAACCATTATTTATTTCAATAGGCAACATCAAGACTATGTCTTCCTGGCCCAAATATAAAAGTATGGACAGATGATGAGCAGCAGGTTGAAGCATGTGCTAGTGAAGTAAAGTGAGTACCCCTGGTTAAGTAAAGAAGTTTCAACCCATTTAGTGTGTCACATCAGAAAGTAAAAAATATGTATCATTACCTGAAGAACCAGGACAAATATATTTTTTTTCTGACCATACATTTTAACTTTCAGTGTTATTTCTATCCATCAATAAATTACTTTAAACCATCAACTATATCAAATTCTCTGACAAAGCTTATTCCATGACATTTCTGTAATGGTTTGTTAACTATCATCTTTGATTGTCTTTCACTGCTTTCAAATTCTCAAATTCTTATCAACAGCAATAGTCTGCTTTGAACATAGATTTATGACCTATTCAGTTCAGTTTAAAATAAATTGAAACTATGATCTAGATATCAGAATGTTGGTACAATAGATAATATCCCAAATTATTTCCTTTATGCAATAGTACAAATGAAGATGAAAAGAAGAAGCTTTGGAATGAAATTGATGAAAAAAAAGCAAAGGTATGTACATTTACAAATAACAGCATGAACTGTTGTGTACTTTAAGAGGAATTTTGCCATCATAAATTCAGAAATATTTTCATGCAAAATATATCTGTTGTTGCAACAATTTCTGCCATCACAGCAATTCAAAAAGTAAAATGCTTAACAACAAAGGAGCTTTTTAAAAAATATATGCAAAATGGAGCAACAGCAATATAATCTTTTCAACATATTCTATTATTTTAGCAAATGTTGGCATTATCCAGCAACTATGAGAATGTAATTCTACCAAGTACAGGTGTGAACAGGGACCAATATCATCATGCTTACACTTCTCCTGATCAGGTAAGGTGAATGAAATAGTAAACAATATAATAGCTATACAATATAAAAATTTGTAAATTAATTTTGCACAAACAAAAACTGGCACATATTCCTTCTTAAGTTCAAGCCCTGTTTCACAAATAATTTAAAATCCATAGTTATAGTGGGGCAGTTATCAATCATAATTGTTCATTTTTGTGATAGAAGCATGAAACTTGGCCAGATTGCCTAAAATGCTGACAGTAGTATTTTTGGATACAGAACCTGCAACTACTGACCCCAAGGTACCCATTTTCCAATATGTTCGCCAGCAGCCAGCATATACATGTATGTGAAAATGTGTGAACTGTTGTGTACTTTAAGAGGAATTTTGCCATCACAAATTCGGAAATATTTTCATGCAAAATATATCTGTTGTTGCAACAATTTCTGCCATCACAGCATTTCGAAAGTAAAATGCTTAAAAACAAAGATGCTTTTTAAAAATATATGTAAAATGGAGCAACAGCAATATAATCTTTTCAATTTGTTCTATTATTTTAGCAAAAGTTGGCATTATTCGACAACTGTAAGCATGTACTTCCACCAAGAAGAGGTGTATATCCAAGCTATCATGAGAACAACCCAAAGGAATTTCTACCAATAAGACTTAAATATTCAGTCCATCCTGTGAACAGGGACCAATATCATCATACTGACACTTCTCTTGACCAGGTAAGGAGGATGAAATGGTAAACAATATAAAAGCTATACAATATAAAATTTGCTAATTAATTTTGCACCAACAAAAACTGGCACATTTTCCTTCTTAAGTTCAAGCCCTGTTTCACAAATAATTTTTAATCCATGGTTATAGTGGGGCAATTATCCACCATAATTGTTCATTTTTGTGATAGAAGCATGAATCTTGGCCAGATTGCCTAAAATGCTGATAGTAGTATTTTTGGATATGGAACCTGCACCACTGACCCAAAGTTATCTATATTCCAATACATTCGCCAGCAGCTAGCATATATGTGAATATTAAATTGGCAAATGATTTCAGTATTATACATAGATATGTTTGACTGGAATAAAAATGTTTCTGTGATGCTGAAATATCTATCCAATCCAAGATGGCATGTGGTTTTGTATCTTCTTCAGGAACTGCAACTTAGTCATGCATGATCTTTGTAACATTGATAACGAAGTGTTAAGCCAGATAACTGACTTGAATTTTTTTATATTTTAACACCAAAAAATCTGTGCTTGGACCACATGGACTTTCAATCTCTAAAGAGATTATTACAGAGGGTAGATGTCAATGAAGGTCCACGTGGTTTGATGGCAAGCACAGATTTCAGAATAATTGGTATAACCACATTTTGGTGGTAAAATGGAATTTATTACATTCTATATGTTATTTACTACCATGGCCCATAGGAGCCTACACGTGCGTCTTTTAGACACCCCTTTACATGCGAAAACGACAAGGCCTATGCCGAGTTCGTCTTTTACTACAGAGCTTTGAGAGCCGAAAATGACATGGCTGTGTCTCTTTCGCCACTTACTGAACTCCACAGATGCGAGATTGACACGACCCATGTCGCGTTCGTCTCTCAAAAGACACTGTTATAAAACATGAAATAGGCATTACGTGTGATTTTCGCAGCTGAATAAGTAGACCCTTATAAACGAAGTTGACGTGACCTTAGAGTCATGTCGCTTTCAACTTTTACAAACCTCCAACAAAATCTATCTCCACACAGACGAGCGCGACATGTACTATTGGACATGAGTCAGTTGAAAGCGACATTAACCTAAATGGCTCATGTTACTTTCAGCCAAATTAATTTGAAACAGAAGGACGGTCTTAAAACCCTTTATATTTGAATCCTTGAAAATAAAAATATGAGGCCATATAATTATTACAAGCAATTAGCCACACTGTTATCTAGATAGCACTAAATTATGATGGGATTCAAATGAAAAAAATGTTTTGGGACAGCACAACACTGTTTCAAATTAATTGGATTTGACATATAAGAGTTGGCTGAAAGTAACATGAGCCCTTTAGGTTAATAGGGTTTCAACTGACCCATGTCCAATAGTACATGTAGCGCGCGTCTGTGTGGAGATAGATTTTGTTGTAGGTTTGTAAGAGTTGAAAGCGACATGACTCTCAAGTTACGTCAACTTCGTTTATAAGGGTCTACTTATTCAGCTGCGAAAATCACACGTTATGCCTATTTCATGTTTTATAACAGTGTCTTTTGAGAGACGAACGCGACATGGGTCGTGTCAATCTCGCATCTGTGGAGTTCAGTAAGTGGCGAAAGAGACACAGCCATGTCATTTTCGGCTCTCAAAGCTCTGTAGTAAAAGACGAACTCGGCATAGGCCTTGTCGTTTTCGCATGTAAAGGGGCGTCTAAAAGACGCACGCGTAGGCTCCTATGGGCCATGGTAATTTACAATGTATTTATTGTAGAATATAAAGAGTTGTTATCATTTTGATATTAAGTAACTAAGTGATAAATCATTTCAGAATATCTTACATCAGTTCAAGGAAGATGCAACAGAAAGGAGAAAAAAGAAAGTTGAAAGCTATGGACAAAATGAGCATCTAATAGAGCCAAAGCAAGTTACAGATAAAGATTTAATGCAAGATACATTGAATGAATGTGTTAAACCATCAACAAATTTTCCAGATTTCTCAACAAATGCAAAACAGGATAACACTACTTCTTCAACTACACCATCTCTAAACAATAAAAGCATGTATTCTGCTGCAAATCCCAAACAGGAAAATACCACTTCCTTACAAATTCAGGCAGAAGAGACCAAGTCAGTTCCAAATGAAGAAAGTGAGTCTTTTACTATCAAAGGTTGGACAGAGAAAAGACCTGCTCTAGAAAAAGATGAAGTATCAAAGGATTTTAAGACCAAGCCCCCATCACCAGACAAACTTCCAGATGAAAAACTTCATTCTAAAGGGAAACATCCACCATGTTACACCAAGTCTAAATATGAACACCGCAATAACATGACCACCATGTTTTATATCTTAAGTATCATTTTCGTATTTTTCCCTTTAATTGCAAATGCTCCTGATGTACCAGAACCAACAGATGTTAATAGTCCAACGGCAGTTGATGGCACTGACATAAATTCAAACAACAATTATTATCCTGTCCACCCACAACCCCCAGTACAAGTTCAAGATAACGGTGAGGATATCCATCACCAGGCAGGTCAGCAACAAGCGGTAGATCTTACACAATACCATGATCTTCATCCTGTTCACCCACAACCCCCAGTACAAGTTCAAGATAACGGTCAGGATATCCATCACCAGGCAAGCCAGTAATAAGGGGTAGATCTAACATTTTACCACGATCTTCATCCTGTTAACTCACAACTCCCAGTATAAGTTGAGCATGAATGTCCATCACCAGACAGATTAGCACCTTCAAGGGAATGACCTTACCTCATGCACAGAGAATACTGATACTTAGATCATAACAATCATATTAATTCAAGAATTTTGTATGTTCATTTTCTTGCAAATTCATTTTGTACCCTGAGAACTGGTATCAAAGTGACCATTTTCATCTTTCGAGGAAATGAAAAGTGCCCAAGACAGGTACAGTGCACCACAGGGGACATTGTAGTCCTCTGCTATTTATAGCAAAGCATAGCTATGTGAGGGTGACATAAATGTGACTGAACAGTCTTTAAAAGTTGTGTTCAATGGGGACATTTTATATAATGTGCAACCAGAAAAACTTTTAGGTGTATATATTAATGAAAATCTTAGCTGGATTGACTGTGTGTATAAACTTAAAAAAAAAAAAATTAACAGTAAACTGTACTTTCTATCCAAACTAAAATGAGACTTAACATTGGAAACAAGAAAACTATTTTATAATGCACATATGGATAATGGAGCAGCTGAGCAGAACTAGAAAATATATAAGAACTACAAAAACATGGTGCAAGAATCATTCTTGATATGCTAGAAAAAGAAGCCAAGTAATATCCAACAAGTGAACTATTCAAGAAACTAAAATGGATAGAATTTAAGAAAGCCACATGATAAAAGCCTTGTTTTGATGTAATCACTTGGAAGCAACACAATCAACAGGGATCATCAGTTGCCAACCATTTCTAGTAGGCACTCAATGCATCTTCAACAGTGTGTTTAACAGTTTTAATGAAGTAAAAAGCATGCCTCAGACATAATGTTGTGTTCCACTGTGCAAAAACCGTGGAGGGCATAGATTTCCTTCCTGCACTAGTAAGGAGAGAGAAGCTGTTAGAAGGCAATGGATACTGGCCATCAAACAAGCCAATCCCTAGATGAAGTCCAATGTGTGAGAGCTGGGTGTGCCAGTCGAGTTGTGTTCTGCTCATTTCATGTCTTCCCACCACTTTATGAAAACATCATTGGGTAAACAGTTAAGTGTTAATTAGATTTCAGGAAACACAAGGTTTATGATAGATAGTCTATAGTCCAGTTATAATACATTTTCAAAAGTAATAAAAATACCTAAAGTTTAGTGGTCCATCTTTGTGTCAGTTTGTTCAAGTTTAACTGCCAATACTATTGGTACAAGTAAAACATACTTCTTTCTTTCATTGTTGCCTTTGTTTGACCCAATCCACTCAAATCCAGAATAAATTTTCCAGGATCAATCACAAGTGAAGGCTGAAGTCTTCAGCAGTCCCACAAAAAGACAAGGGACCAGCTGCTTGCCACCAGAGACGCATGAAACAAGCAGCTAGTGTTACTTTCAACCATTCTTAACATAAAGATGTGGAATCAGAGGTAAGATTAATTATTACACACTTATTTGTAAAGGAATTTTATTGTCCTAGTGTTTTACGCCTAAGTTCATATGTTTGATCAGATATGCATGTCTGATCAGATATTTTCGGTTTAATTTCTTTACTCTTTTGATTAAATTTTAAAATGTAATTTTTGTTGTTTAAACATTAGTCTTAGGAATAAAAGCACTCTTTTTTTTTCTCAAGGAAGCATCTGTCAATATCTTGATATTCTACGGATCCCTGATGTTAGCATGAAGTGTGAAATTGAAACCAGCTCAACAGTGACTACTTCTAAAAGACCAACCTATCCTTTACTTTCTCCACCAATGACTAAAACTGCAGTGGACTCTATTATTACTGTGCATCAACTAATACTCAGCACAGACACATTTTGTAGTGATCCACATGGTATGCATAACTACACTGTGTTTGCAACTTGAGAGCTAGTTGTATATGAACTGAATTATATGTATGGATTTTTACTCAATGTATTTTCTTTTGTAGATTGTAGACAGATTTTTATGGTGGTGGTGGGAATAAGAAAAAACAAGGCAGCAAAGCTGTCAAATGTACAGACAAATAAAAGANCCCACAGTTTGACTGTCCGATCACAATGATTGCCGGCTGCGTCGTGATGACCCGTTGAACACGTTCCTGTGTGTCTTTAGGAAGGAATTGTTCAATATTTACATGAGGACAAGTTTTCACGAATTTCTCAATTTGATACACAGTATTATCATAGCAAAATTTAAGATGATTTAACTCTTTCTGAACAACTGAAAATGCATCAGAAAAGTCGTCATAAACTGTGTCATTTGTTTCTAGACCTTTCCCTGCGATGGACGCCGCCATGTTGTCTCGCTGGAGACTTTTGCACACAAAGCGAGGTGGCAGACAACCGTCTTACTGCTTAATGTATTTCATAGGGAGTGAGATCAATGGAAAGAACAGCCTTGAACTATTTGTTTTGTGATTTCAGTCAAATAAGTCCTTTGTCGATCTTTTGCCGCCTTCCAAGAATTTTGCACACGGCACGTTGACCCTTTGCCGCCTTTCAAGAATTTTGCACACGACAAGTTGACTATCGAAAGTCGATAACACTCCAACGCAGCGTTTTGATTGCAACTGTTGTTCCTCACAATTCACCATGATTTATACTTGTGCCACAAACTGCTGTTATATAAGTTTTTTTCCCTACTTTTTTATGGGGGGGGGGGGTGTTGATTATATTTTTCCATCAGTGAAAGTGTGAGCTCTGTGAGTTTTCTTTTTATGTTGAGCATACCACTTGAACGCAATTTAAAACATCGGCGGATGAGCCGGAGAAGGGGGGCTTACTCCCATTATATTCAACCTCGTGAGCCATTAGCCCAAGATATTCATGATGAAATTACATCTAAACAAAAGTGCCATGTTTCATCTTAATTAGATTGCAACCAATGACATATAAAAATGTTTACTCTTGAAATTTTATTATGAATATCAACACCAATCAGTCACATACATAACTAGAAAAGCACTCCGAGAGCGCAGACCTCCGCCAAGACAGCAAAGTCTCCACCCAATGCTATTTCACCCCTAAATTTTCGTTATTTTTGATTATTGATTATTGATTGTCTGTTTCTTGGCCCACTTCTGACGGTTTCTGAAAATTTCATAAAAATCGGTCCATAACTTTTTGAGTTATGTTGATGACAGACAAACAAACAAACAAACAAAAAATTAACTACCATGTGTTCTCATCTACCATTTAAACTGTTTGATTCTACATAGCCTCATAATGAACATCTTGACTTAATTGAAATTTAAATCCTTCGTTATTTTTTATTTCAAAAGGCAACATCAAGTCTATGTCCCTCTGGCTTAAAATTGAGGACAGAAGACAAGCAGCAGGTTGAAGAACATGCCAGTGAAGTACAGTGAGTACCACTGATTAACTAAAGAATGTTCAACCTATTTGGTGTTTCACATCAGAAAGTAAAAAATATACAAAATTACCTGAATAACCAGGACAAATATTTTGTTTTCTGACATTTTAGTGTTCACTGATATTTTAACTCGTTAATAAACTCGTCGATTCCATGATATTTGAATGGTTTGTTAATTTTCATCTTTGCTTATCTTCACTGCTTCAAAATTCTCAAATTCTTATCACCGATACTCTGCTTTGTACAGGGATTTATGATCTAGATATCAGGATGGTAGTAAAATGATCATTTCTATATCATTTGCAATAGTTTTTTTCAAAATAGATAATATCCCAAATTATCTTTTTTATGCAATAGTACAAATGAAGATGAAAACAAGAAGCAAAAAAAGCTGTGTGATAAAATTGATGAAGAAAGAGCAAAGGTATGTCCATTAACAAATAACAGTGTGACCACATGGACTGTCAATCTCTTAAGAGATTATTACAGAGGGTAGATGTCAATGAAGGTCCACATGTGTGCAGTTTTTCATTTGCATTCAACAATCATTCCACTTGTCTAGATTGTATTAATTATTTTGATTTGCAGATTTTAAAGAAAATATTTATACCAAAGTTTCGTATTCTTCGACCTGATACAGATTTAATCTTATAAATGCACCTGAAATTGAATATAAAGAAATGTTTGCTTTGTCATGACGCACATATATTTGTAAACATGGTAAATAACTAAAGATTCATCTTCTTTACAAATGCAAATGCAATATATATATATATATATATATATATATATATATATATATATATATATATTCAAAGTCCTCATCAGCACTTACCCCGTCTTCCAGCTCACCCTTATTTATCCCTTGCCAGATCTTCTATAATGAGAAACACTTAGATCTAAGACATGGCACTTTTTAATCTTTTTTAACCTAGATATAAAAAAATTACTTTTCTTGGCACACTTTTGTGGCTGAACACAGTTCACGTTATGCATTGTCCCTTTACTGTCTTTGCTGTTTGGTTTAAAAACTTGTAATCATCATCCAGGTGCATGAAACTATGAAAAAAGACATTATATATATTGAAATCCGTCATTGAAGTGACAAATTGAATCGGTGTTCCAATCATTAATACTTAATAAAAATATAGCTCACCTTATACGTTATTTTACTGCATAACAGAGAGCCCAAATATGGAGGTTTTTTTATTTATTTATTTTTTTTTAATTTTTTGCTTGCTTTTTTCAAACTGGACATGATCCCAGACCAAGGTATAGCATTTGCCTGATAAAACACGTCTAAATTGTATAACTTTTTCCATGAAAATATTGAATAATCAATATTGACATCTATCCATTTTTTTTTTTTTTTTTTTTTTTTTTTGCACACAGACTTACATTTATGAACAAACAAGTTCAAAACACTCCAAATCACCCACAATATCAAATTTTACTTATGAAAACTATTACAGCAAATGGTCTTTTCGAAATTTAATTGATACTACAACGCCACCTAGGGGATGAAAAGATATCTTATCTGCTGCAATCGAACTTAAAAGCACTAGCAGATTGTTTTCGATCTACTCTTTATGTAGGGACACGAAATTGGCAGGTTAATTATCTGTAAAAATTCAATATTTTAACAGTTTATATTTGCGTATTGACAAATATACTTGGATGCAAGCAACCCTCTTCAGCTTTATTCAATCCTTGAGCGCAGGCAGCAGGTAGTGGGGTTAAGGGCCCTGTCTACTCGCTTTAGTTACATTTACCAGTATACTCAAATAAATCATCATTTACCTCATATGTGTTTTTATAGCTTATTTTGTGTAACATCAATGTGATATGGTATTATTTGTATTATTATATATAACCGAAGATCTCAATATGAATATTGTCTGAAATGTTCATTATTTTAAAATAATTGTACTTAAGTTTTTTGACATCATATAAACTGCATTGTGTCGTACAGAGTTGTATTGAAATATTGTGTCGCTGACTGTGATCCCAGTCAGCCAAAGTCTACCCTGAGTGTCAGAGCAACGTAAAAGCTAGCTTGCTAAATATACCTTGTGGTGGAGTCGCTTTTACTAGCACTGAAGACCAGCGGCCATGTTAGGTTTCCGTCAATCAAATAGAATTGCTCTGCAGTGAATCTGCAGTTGAATGTCACCAGACCAAAATAAAACGTAAAACAAATTTAATTCTGCTTTATTTAATTTTATTTGCTGTATTTAAGATGTAAAGTGAAATAAATAAATAATATTCTTCGGAAAGAAAAGATATATCCAATGTTTTTGTATTTTATGCTTATCAAAGAACATTTAGTCCTGAGATATACACGTGCACAATTAACCCATTGTAGCCCTCGTCATCAAAACAAACGGCAGCCATACTGGAGGGAGACCGGAATCGTCTGCTGCGCATGATCATGTCTACATGTACAATTTAGCATTTAATTTCTGTGTTTTCTTTGATATTAAACCGAGTAAAATGATGAATTACTGCAGGGTATATGATAGAGAGAAGATAAATAACTTAACAAGCGTTCACAGACTGCCTGCAGTGGTAACAATCCAAGGTGTAGGGACGAAAACCGTAAACGGAGGAGAGACTGAGGAGTGGCTTTGAATCAAGACTCATCGAACAATTAAAGGATAAAACTAATTTATTTTACAGCAAAGAATGAAGACCCAGCTGTGCAGCCTTTACCATAAAAGAAAAAAAAAGTAGAAAACCAATGACCGAGGTGTATAAGATATGAGCGCACGTACACTGCATATTAGTAGTGCCCAAAAAGTCTTGGTGGAGAGAGTGTTGTAAAAACGTGTGGAAATACCCAGGCAGGGTTTCGACTTTCATTATGAAGACTCACTTATTGCCTTGGGTGTAATTTGTTATCAGTTATGGTGCTCTTTGGATGTT